GATTGATTCTATGAAAAATTTAATACATGTTAAATCAATTTCAAAATCAACTCATAAATATGAAAATCTAGATCTAGAAATGTTTAGCAAAATAAATATCAAAGAGTATGAATAAATGATGTCGAAATCCCCGAATCCAATTGAGTTATTCCCTTGCTTCACCAATTGCTCTAGCCTTCCATGGAGTTTCTTGAGCCAAAAGTGTGGAAGAATGGTATAGAATGAAGAATAAGGCGTTCTTGGGTGTTTGGGGATTTTTTAGGGTTGAAAAGTCGTGCAAGATATGTTACCAAAAGAGTTTGAGTCATAGAAGGAAAGTGGAGATTCCGGCTTCAAAATGCATCATGCGATCGCAAGGTACAATTCCTTGCGGTCGCAAGGAACAATTGAAATGAGGCCTGGAGTTCGCTGAACATCTCTATGCGATCGCACAACAAAAAACCAAGCGATCGCATGGTTTTGATAAAATTCAGTCGGACAGCTTTTAGTATTTTGACCATAAATTTCTCTTTCGATGTCTGATTGAGGTGATTAAAGTTGAGTTGACAAGCTAACTCAAAGGGTTACAACTTTGCTTCAGATGTCAACTTCTAATTCTATCGTTTGCTATGTCAAAACTGGTCTCAATATGAGGCTGAAAATCGATGCAAAACTTTTCAGCTTGAAAGTTGATATGAGACAATGTCTTGGCTATATTTCACCAATTTAACTCATTTCTTCATCCAATTGACCTCTAATACTCTCGAATCTTTATCACAAGGTTGGAAACAAGTTTAAAATATTTACACATTGGTCCCTGGACTTCTGTTTTTTTCCTTTTTGGCCCTTTTTTCACTTGGTTCACCTCAATTTCGTTACATTCATCATTTTGTCATACAAAACATGAATTACATAGAATTAAATTATATTCTAACATTTTAATCAGCAATTGCTCATATTTTGACAGTAAAATAAGTATATAAAAATACACTTATCAAACCCCCCCAAACTTGAACTATTGTTTGTCCTCAAACAACAATATAACTCAACCCTACAAACAATATGGTTTAACAATATGTCGTGTCACATGTTTGGAATTTGGTAGTCAGACAAATGAACAATTAGAACAGTACAAAGTATCAAATCAGTCTCCACCTGTTACATGCGTAACCTGACGTGCGTGTGTGAAAACTCATGTCAACATACCAAGATTGTGATTGGTTCAACACCTGGCCCATAGTAGTCAAATATATTATTTTCTTGTTTGAGAGATGCACACACCCCCAAACTTACTATTTTCGCTTATTTTTCCCCGAGATGCATCATAGATTCAACTTTTCAATTTTATTCCTTATTCTCTCGTATTTTGGATAGACTTTACTCTTACAAGTTCATACTTCAACAAATCGAGATTCTCCTATATTTTTTATTGCTTCTACCATTAAGACTAGACTAAATTACTTGTTTTTCATCAAAGGTATAGTTTTGTCAACTGGATGTCTGGGGCTTAATCAATGTATTTGAATGGACAAAATTTTTTTTCTTTTCATTTTCATGTTTTCTCCATTTCTCTTCCTCTTCTTTTTTTTTTCTTGAGCATCTTCTCATTTGCTTTCTGTATAACCCATGTAGCGAACTTTAAGCCGATGACTCCTAAGTCAGATGACCATAGGGCATTAGGTTTTAAATCACCATCACATGCTTAATCACCCGAGTTATATAGGCTCAAAAAGATGTTTCAATATACTCAAAGATTAGTGCAATGCC